TTTCCGAAGTCCCAAATGTAAATTAGGTACTGAAACCAAATGGCTAGTATATCTGAGAATTCTCCAGACCTACAATAACCTAGGATAGCACTGGATTACTCAAAACCAATCTTGATCTTATGCTTATACCATGAAAGCTGGGCCTGAAACAAATTAGGTCTCTTGGGATAAAAGATATAGGTTTCACCCTGGCTGGCGTAGCTCAGTGGATGGAGCGCGGGCTGGGAACCAAAGTGTCCCAGGTTCGATTCCCAGCCAGGGTACATTCCTGGGTTGCAGGCCATAACCCCCAGCAACCGCACATTGATGTTTCTCTCTCTCTATCTCCCTCCCTTCCCTCTCTAAAAAATAAATAAAATATTAAAAAAAAATTCTTTGTTAAAAAAAAAAAAGATATAGGTTTATAATGAAGTTTACCTGATTTTTATACTACAGATTAATTATTTGGGGAGGGGGGCAGGGTGGAGAACTGCCATGTCCTAAAATATGTGAGATCACATTCCAGACCCACAAAGGGATTCTATACTCCCATCCATCAAAACGAGACACCTAATCTTTAAGGAAAGTATACAGGCATATTCAAAACTAAAAGACACCAAAAATTTATGGCCTTCATTACAAATGGGAAATATTTATGAAACAATTTTCTGTATAACTGTGCTATACAAAACCTATATTAATTTAATAAATGTTTAATTAAAAATATTTTAGTGAACCTTAAGGTTAAGTACCACCTACATTATTCATTGGTTATATTTTTGTTTGTATGTGTGTTTTTTAAACTTCTCAGACAATGAGGTACTTCCTGGTTAGAAACATTTGAGTTAAAATTATTTTAGTAATCATATGTTCTGTATAAACAAAGTATCAGTTGCTGAGGTAGCAATATAGATTAGTACAAAGAACCTAAAGCTAATTCCAACTACTGGTTTCATCATTTGTAAAATGAGAATACTATCTGTCTTATTTAGTGAGAATAATAACTATGCCACACAAAATACTCAAAAGAAATTTTAAAAACTAAAGAAAAAGACTTGTTGCAACTGTTACTTGTTGTCTAATTCCCAGAACTATCATTTTTAAAAAGAGTGGGGATAGTATTTAACAAGGTACAGTATACCAAATCAGTATCAACTTCAAGAGCTTCCCACCAAAGATCTTATAAAATACTTGTGTTAACATATTAATTACTTCTTTCAAAAAGCCTCAACACTGGCTCCACTTTTATCAAATGCCCAACCCACTGTGCACACAAGTCAGGGTGATTTCAACCATTTTTAAGTGTATAGTTAACAATTTTTTTAAAGCTGTCATTGTCCTTTTAAAACCTTGTGAAGTAGGATGATACCATATAAGTGCAAACAATTTTGTTTTGATTATTTTCTACTCTAAAAAAAATTATAAAACCACTTGGGTATTTGTAAAAAATGAATATTTATTGAACACTTATATGGGAGCCATAAGAGTACTAGACACTATGATCCATTGTCATTAGATTATGCATTGTATGAATGTCAAAGACTTAAATTGCATTTACCAAAAGAACACAGGCAAAGATGTAACTGATCAAGGTTCCCGTTCACTAAGATTAGATTTTTTGAAGTTTCGATTTATGCCTTAAGCATTATATGGTCCAAGAAATGAACGAGCTGGATTTCTCCTGAAATCTCTGAGCAGTACCCTGTGAGATCAGATAGTGCTACAAACAGGTTCAGGAGCCCCTCTTTTAACCCCTCAGAAGTAGAAGGAAAAAACAGTGAAAAAAGAGTTTCACAAGAAACTTTAAAATTAAATCTAGTGGGAATTTGTCCTCCCTTCCTCCTCATCAGTTCCTTTATTCTAACACTTGTTTTCAGTTATCAGGATAAAAACTGATTTAATTAACTAAATCTGTGGCAGTCTCAAAACTAAGTAAAGATATGTTTAAGAATGCAAATTTTACTCCAGATACAGGATATTGGAAAAAGTGAATGAGGAAGAGTTACTGAATAATGAACTATATAAGCATTTCCAATTAACAGACTGAATTAACCTGCAGTGATAACCACTACCTATACCAAAGAGTTCCTGGGAAAATTTAACCAAAGTTAACTTCTTAGGGCTGCCAAGCAATTGGTTTCAAGCTCTCGGCATAAGGTAAGCATACTAATAAGGAGATTTTACTATTTATTCACTTGAACATTTCATCTTTCAGAAACTGAGAGTATAGTAACAGTAATCATTCAGTAACCGACAGGGACTCAGGGGGAGGGGGATGGGGAGAGGAGGATAAGGGAGGAAAGGAGGGGAAGGGTCTGGTTAAAGAACAAGTATAAATGACCCATAGAAATGGACAACAGGGTGGGGACTGACTGGGGGGTGAGGCAGGGGAGAGCAATGGGGGGAAATTAGGACAAGTGTAACAGAATAAAAAAATATATATAAAAATTAATAAAAATGTTAAAACATGTTAGGCCCTGGCCAGGTAGCTCATTTGGTTAGAGCATCATCCTGATACGCCAAGATTGCAGGTTCGATCCCTGGCCAGGGCACATACAACAATCACCCAATGAATGCATAAGTGGAAGAGCAAATCTACATTTCTTTCTTTATCTCTCTCTCTCTCTCTCTCTCTCTCTCTCTCCATCTTCTCTCTCTCTCTCTCAAATCAATAAATAAAAATTTTAATACTAGATGCTACTCCATGGCAACACAGAAGAGGTGGTCCCACATCCACAGGTAGTAGATAAAAATCAGGAAGTATATCTCATGAGTGAAAGATCTAAGCTGCACGCCAGGGCCCCCTGCCCCCCGACCAGGCTTTCAGTACCAGGAAGGTAAGTCTGGATAACTTTGGGCTATAAAAAACAGTGGGGGTTGGGGCAGCGGAAGACACTGCAGGATTCTCAGGCCTCTCCTCTTAAAGGGTCCACAATGGACTTAGGACTTACAGAGACTCACTCCCTCTGGGCTCCAGCACTGGGACAGCAGCTGGAAAGGCAACAGTGGCATATGGGGAGAAACTGAAGTGTCTGGCATCAGAGCAAGTGCCAGGGGACGACTCCCTCCCAAGCAAAACTCCAGAGGCTAGGCAGCAATCAATGTCCCTTTTCTGAGTCCTCCCTTACAGAGAACCACAGAGTGGTGACATCATATCTGGGACTCCATCAAGCTGGGTCACACTGGTTGCCCTGCTCATTTGATTACCCAAGGTTCTGCCCCATCCAACTTAATGGTGCACTTTTCTACATTAAGCCACACTACTAAGACAGGGAGTCAAGGAGTTCTATCAAATATACAGAAACAAACACAGGGAGGCTGCAAAAATGAGGAGACAAAGACATAAGGCCCAAATGGGGGGGAGGGGGGGACAGAACAAAACTCCAGAGAAAGAACTAATCAAAATGGAGATAAGCAATCTATCAGATACAGAGTTCAAAACACTGCTTATTAGGATGCTCATAGAACTCATTGGGTACTTCAACAGCATAAAAAAGACCCATGCAGAAATAAAGTTTACACTAAGTGAAATAAAGAAAAATGTATAGGGAATCAACAGTGGAATGGATGAAGCCAAGAATCAAATAAATGACTTGGAATACAAGGAAGAACAAATTTAATCAGAACAGCAAGAAAAGAATCAAAACAATGAGTATAGAGTAAGGAGCCTCTGAGACAACTTCGAGCGTACCATCAGTCAAATCATAGGGGGTGCCAGAAGGAGAAGAGAAAGAGCAAGAAATTGAAACTTATTTGAAAAAGTACAGGAAGCACCGAGAGTCCAAAACAAGATGGACAGAAGAATGACCACACCAAAATACATTATAATTAAAATTCCAAAGGTTAAAGATAAAGAGAGAAACTTAAAAGCTGCCAAGAGAAAAGCACATAGTTGCCTACAATGGAGTTCCTATGAGACTGTCTGTTAATTTCCCAAAAGAAGCTTTGCAGGCCAGAAGGGAATGGCAAGAAGTATTCAAAGTGATAAAAGTAAAAACCTACAACCTAGCTTACTCTATCCAGCAAAGCTATCATTCAGAATGGAAGGGCAGGTAAAGTGCTTCCCATACAAGGTAAAACTAAAGGAGTTCATCATCACCAAGCCTTTATCATATGAAATGTTAAAGGGACGTATTTAAGAAACAGAAGATCAAAACTATGAACACTAAAATGGCAATAAATTCACAACTATCAATAACTGAATCCAAAAACAAAGCAAACAAACAGAACAGAAACAGAATCATAGATATGGAGATCATTTGGAATGGTGCACCATTTGAGAGGAGGGAGGGGAGAATGAGGGGAAAGGTACAGGGATTAAGACGTACAAGTTGGTAGGTACAGAATAGGCAGGAGGCTGTTAAGAGCAGTACAGGAAATGGGGTTTTCTATTCCATGCAAAGAATTTATATGCGTGATCCATGGACAAGAAGTAAGGGGGAGTGAGGGGATTGTCAGAGGAAACAGGGATACTGGGTGGAGGGATAAAGGGGGAAAATTTGAACAAGTATAATAGCATAATCAATAAAATATACTAAAATAAAAATAAAACCATCAGTACTAATGAAAGAAATTTTTAAAATAAAAACACCCATTATTCAAAACAAAAGTAAATAAAAAAAATAAATAAAGCAAGCCCCTAAAAGAGATGCCCAGCAAAGTCATTTAGGCAATGTCCACTGAGGTAGAAGGTAGATGGGCCCCAGTGGAAGAGGAGAACTTTTCATACAATAAATAAAAACCCACTCCTATTTACATTAGGAATAAACTCTGACCATGAAAAGCAGTGTTTGAGTTTCAAAGGTGACTACTTTTATCACACCCTTTTATCCTAACTTCAAATAAGATGAGCCTGTGTTTCTAGCAAATAATGAGGTAGTAAGGGTTTGCAAACAAATTTGTGACAATCTTGCAATAATCAATAAAAGATCTGAATATGGGAAAGGAATTTTTAAAAATCAAGAAAATTTTAGCCTGTTTTCAACTATATTTGTTTTATTTCTATACCAATAAGTTCTTACCTTGTGGAATTCTCTTCTGAGAAAAATAGATACAATTTTGTTCCTAAAAAAATTTCAGGTAGAAAAGTTAAAATGTTAGTTTCAAAACAGAAAGTCTGTTGAAAATGAAAAGTTATAAAATGCTAACACAGTACATACAAAGTATTATAACATTTGGTATTACCAAAGCTTAAGGAAGAGACAGTAAGTCTTTAACAATAAAAGCACTTTATTATTTTTATAAAAATAGTATTTTTATCATTACAAAAATACTCATAACGATCAAATGATTTTTGATAGGTACACGATGTGTGGCACATTATTCCAAAACATCGTTACTCGACTGGGTTTTACTCCAGTCAAGATTTGATATTTTGAAGTGTACTTTTTAGGCATAACCTACATGTCGTAAAATTCACCCTTCCAATGCATGATATTCAGTAGTTTTTGCTATACTCAGAAATTTGTGTAACCTGCTCTAATATCTAACTCCAAAATATTTTTGTCACTCCAACAAGGAACCCTGTACTAAAGCAAACAATTTTCTGCCAGGGAGGACTATTTGAAACAACTTTTTAAAATTTACAGGAAGCATATTCTTTGTAACACAATGATCAAAATTATGTTCTCTTTTAAATGTATAGAACAAAGACTAATAGGGAAAACAAATATTGAAAAATTATAAGAGTAGATGTATTAGTGACTGACTCTTTCATATATTCCTTCTAAAGCTTTGATTTTATAGTATTACCTTAATTGTTCTTAAAAAGTATCACACAAACATACATTTTCTGGAGCTATATGTTAGAATTTGTACTATAATCAACAGTAAAAAAAAAGAAAAAGAAATACATATATACATTTTAACAATGTCCACTATGCTTTTTTATTGTTTTTCAAAGTTGATTAAATAAGTATAAAGTTAAAGAAAATGTTGGCCACACTTACTAATCTGGTTGAAAAGCCACAGCTGCATTTTACTTTATGACAAATTGGCTGTTTCATCACTTTGCATCTGGGCTTCTACTTCTTAATGGTCATTTCTGAAATAAAGATGTAGTAATTAAGTATATTATAATAAAAACATGAAATCTTTCATGACAATTACCTAAATTTCAGTGACTACAGGGAACTATCAAAAGAGTTCTTGAGCAACTTTCCAATACAGAAGATTAGCAGGACTGAGGGTGAGCTGGGATGGAGCACAGGCTATTGTCCCACAGGCCCTAAATTCAGTAGTCAAGTTACAAGTACTGAGTATAAAAATCCGTAACTACCTCAGTCCTCAATCCTTTTCACCCACCAGGGTCTTGCAACTGTTAAAAATGCCATTTAGAGATTGGAAAAAGAAAAAAAGAAAGATGTAGAAGATAAGCACTGCAACTGCACACTTGAGAAAAAGATCAACAGTTTACTTGTTACGTCTGTCTGTCTATTTTTCTCCTCGCACTTATAAAGTAAGCTCCAGAGATTTCTGTCAAATTTATTTACTGATATTTTTCAAGCACCTAATACAATGGCTACCATGAATTAAGTGCTCAATAAATATTTACTGAAAGAATGAGTAAACTGATGAATGATTTAACATTAATTGATAACATATTTAACCTGACAGTATCTCAGAATGGCAAAGTGTCAAAATGCCGTATCTTCCACACAGACACCATTGATGCTAATGCCAACTACATTATCTTTATTGCTTTGTTCTCCAGTAAACCCAATAAACAAAGCCCCCAGTTAAAAGACAATCAAGTCAGAATCCCAACCTTCAAGGAACAGAACAGAGGCATATATGTCACTTCCTAATTTTGTTAGTGCAACTTCTGGGAAAGACTCCTAGAAGGGGAATTGCTAGATATGCAATTTTGCTAAATATTGCCAAATGGCATGAGTGAGGGTTTTTTTCTTTTATAAATGTGTGTGTTCTTTGAGGTGCTGGTTGTGAGGAGAGCTAAGAATATAAGAGAAAGTCTTTCATGAGGAGTGACAGTCTGACAAGTCTCAGAAATAACCCTCACAGAACCCAGGAGTTCCCTACTTTCAATCCTGTAGCTAAATCAGTATTCCACAAAACACTACTCTTTTTGTAAAAAGTTGGGGGAATACAAATACTAATACAGACTTGCTCCTTTTTCTTTCAAAAAGAAGCAATGGGAAGGATAAGCTGAGACCATTTTTAAAGGGTTATCTACAGAGATAAGAGAAAACAGAGTAGAAGGAACTTTGAAATGGAAGACTTCTTAGAATATACTTTATAGTTTTTATTTTGAGGACATATTTTAAGAGCAAGTGAACATTAAATGACACTGACATTCTGAAATATCAACAAAAGAAATAATGACTACCACTGATTGAAACATTAACATATAAAAAATTCATCTTTGGAAGTTGCTAGGGCACTGACAACTGAAGATCGATAAAGGGGAATAATCAAGCATTTATCCTGGCTTTCTTTATGAAAAATACCGCAGGGTAATACAGCAGTCAATAAATAAAAGCTCTTTTTTATAGGATTCCTAACTTAAATGTAGAAGTAATGATAGGATTAGGAATCACCATTTTGTAACTCCTAATGAAATAATAGATATTTGAAAGTCATCAATGATTGTTAAAACCATTAGGTAAAAAGGCTAATGGAAAACTTTTAATGGACCAGTTGACAAAACTTGAACTCAGTGATTAATCTTGACATCACTAAAAATGTGTCAATCAGCCCTGGCTGGTGTGGCTCAGTGGATTGAGTGCTGGCCTGCAAACCAAAGGTTCCTGGTTCAATTCCCAGCCTAGGGACATGCCTGGGTTATGGTCCAGGTCCCCAGTTGGGGGTGCACAAGAGTCAACTACACATTGATGTTTGCCTCTCTCTTTTTCTCCCACTCTCTAAAAATAAATAAATAAAATATTTTTAAAAAATGTGTCAGCCAGACATGTGCAGAAATAGTCATGACTATCCATTAAATGTTCATCCTGAAAGCTCCAGTTTCAAATGGTATCCACAATATTACCTACCACCTGGTCCAAGCCACCTTATTTCTCATGCGCAGTACTATAATAGTTTATTATCTGATCTCCCAGCCTCCCTCCTCCCTTGCTTACCTCAAAAACCAAGTCACATTAGTCCTTTTCAAAAAGAAAGTCAGATCATTCTTCTGCTCAAATCCTCTAATTGAGTCTACTTCATTGGTCTAAAAGGCAAAGTCCTTACAAAGGCATAGGATCATGATCTGGTATTTCCCTTCCCCATCTCTCTAACTTCATTTCCCACCATTCTCCCTCTTGTTCACTCCATTCTAGCCACACTGGTTTCTTTCCTACCCTTAAACACATCAGGCATGTTCTCAGGGCCTCAAGATTTGTTTTTCCCTCTACCAATCACACCAGTTAACTCTCTGGCTTATTCCTCCTCCACCTCCCTTAGGATCCCGTTTTTATAAGTTATATTATCAGACAGATATGCCTTGGTATCCTAGGCAAGCCCAAAACCTCTGCCTCAGATTTTCTTATCTGGGAGAGAATATGATAGGAGAAATCAAATCATAAATTTTGGAGATGACAATCATTTGAAACACAAAAAGTCATCAATTTTTATATCTTTGTGTTTAAACACCTACAGAACTATACTGTCCTTTTTAAGAGATTCTAAATTCCACGATCCCAAATTCAAAGAATTAATGAAGACAGAGCCACCATATTGTAGGGTTTTTGTTTTTGTTGTTTTGCTTTTAAATCATCTATATCATAACACTAGAAAGGAGAGGGTTAAAGATTTGAATTAAATGGGTCCTATTAAAAAACAACTATCAAAATAAATGGCATTCCCTTTCCTCCCACTCCTTTAAGGATTTCTGTTAGGGAATACATGATAAAGTTCCAAGTAATCTCAGGACAAGTTTACTTTCAAATGTATCTGTTACCTTCAGGCACCATGACCCCCCAGAAAGAACTCACTAACTCTATAATGTGACTAGACAAGCTATGACATGGTTGGGATGTTTGAACTTAATTATTTTTCTTTAAATAAACAAACTCCCCCTGGGTTAAGGCCTACTCTGTTTTAAACACTCTATGGCTGGCAAGCTTCAGAGTCTTAAGAGAGATAGCCAAGAGACAGAGAAAACAGCAAGTATGACTCAGTGATCACATTTAATAGTCTCTAAAGATCAAAACAAAGATACCACTTCTGTCGAGAGCTCTCTAGAATTGCCCCCAAACTGACTTATCCACATACCTTTCATGTGAACAATTTAGTTTAAGGTTCACAAGCACTTGTTATGTGCCTATCAGACCTTAGGTACAAAAATAGACCAAGAGTACAATGAAAACAATCAGCAGGGGTTCTAAGAGCTGAATGATGAAATTTAATGTTAAAATCTGCTTTGTTTGGGATGAGGAGGATTCCTTGAGTATTTTTTGCAGAAACACCCCTGCTCACTTGGAAATTACACTTTAACAAATCCTATCACTTGAAACAAGGCTAGTGAATTTAAAGTAACCTTTACTGAGCAACTTCTATGTGTGCCAGATATTGATATTAAGCTCACAATTCTCACAGCTTCCCTATGAGAAAGGTATTAACAAAACATATACATTGGTTAAATATCATGTCCAAACCGGAAAGAGACAGCACCACGATGCAAAATCTCAGTCTTTCTTTTTCATTATTATAATCTGTAGTAAACTGGAATAAAATAAATCACAATATCACATTTCCTCCATAGGAATAACATAAAATCCAGGCTGCTCTTTTAAGAAATTTGTTCCATTCTTCCAAAGTTCGCCTTAGATAAAAAAGTAAAGAGGGAAGGTTTACTCTTATACATTATTAAGAAAACTGTGTCATTAAGGAATGAGAAGAATATGCTACATTTAGGTCTAAGTGAACTGAGTAGGAGCAAGCTAGGCTAGCACAACTTACTAATTAGTATTCATTCATGATTAGCCTAATCACCTCTAAGTGTTGGCTATTTCATTACACACTGAGAAGTCAGGAAAGAAATGTTAAGATTTAAGAGAATAGGAACATAATTATTCATCAAAATAGTTTCTGTACTTTTTCTGGATGTTTGAAATACTTCTTTCTTTCTTTACAATAGATGTAGATAAATACATATATCAAAGTATGCCATGAGTTTATTAAAATTTACAGTAAAATTACTGTGACTGGTGTGGCTCAGTGGGTTGGGTATCGTCCCGCAAAAAGAAAGGTCACTGGTTCAATTCCTGGTCCTGGCACGTGCCTGGGTCGTGGGCCAAGAGTTGGGGGTGTGCAAGAGGCAACAGATCGATGTTCCTCTTGCACAGCTTTGTTTCTTGCCCTCTCTCTCTCTCCCTTCCCCTCTTTCTAAAAATAAATTTTAAAAAATTTACAGCAAAATTACTAGTTATGATTATTAATTTTTCCTTCTGGAATTCTTTAGTTCCTGACAGTATAGAATAGCACATTGGCGTCAGTTCTTTACACTCAACAGGATCTGATTTTTAACATGTCATTATCAGAAAATATTTTGTAGGAATAATTTCTTTCTAAATTGTAAGCTTACTGGTTATTACGATATGTATGCACTGCCTATCACACAGTAAAAGTAGCATCCTTATTATTTAAAAAAAAAAAGGCAATTACTTAACTATCAAGACACATACTACCCAGGAAATGTGGCCTTGTTACACTAAAGAGGTCCTCGTATATTTGGCGAAAGTGAAAATTCCTTGGAAGAAATTATAACCAATGACTAAAAACATGACATTTAAGCAACTTACTGTTTTATAGAGGAGAGACTCAAGAAATTGATTGTTTAAAGTTTCTCAAAGGCCTAAGTACATATATATATACTAGCCTTCCAAGTAAAAGTATCCCCAGTTTTTTTAAAGTTCATGTTACACTACTTCAATTTTACAAAAGACCTGCATGATTATATAGTAAGTCCTCACTTAACACTATGGACAGGTTCTTGGAACTGTGGCAAAATGACATATTTCAAAACCAACTTTAACAAAGGCTAATTAATATAAACAAGAGTTAAGTCTCTACAGCATCTCTTTAATG